ACCCTAGGTCGCTGCTAAATAAGACCTTTCTATTGAACGATTTCTTCATCTCCCGTGGCCTGGACTTTCTCTTTGTAGTTGAAACGTGGCTAACTACTGGCGATTTAAGCCCCCTTGTTGAACTGTTCCCAAGTGACTGTGCCTTTTTTAATACTCCTAGACCTACTGGTCGAGCTGGAGGTCTCACTACTCTTTTTAGAGATCACTTTAAATGCCGTTTACTATCTGCTGGAGGCTATTCAAGTTTTGAGGTGCAGCTGCTCAAGCTGGAGCTGTCCTGTCCTGTAACCTGTGCTTTAGTGTATAGACCTCCTAAACCTAACAATGACTTCATTCAGGAATTTTCTAATTTTCTGTCAGTAATTCTGTCTAGCTCAGAGAAAGTCCTGATTCTGGGTGATTTTAATATCCATGTATGCTGTCCTTCTAAACCCCTGGCTACAGATTTTTTACAACTCATTGACTCTTTTAGTTTAACTCAGTCTGTTACTGGCCCCACACATGAACATGGTCATACTCTGGATCTGGTGTTGTCATTTGGTTTCTCATTGTCCAGCATAGAGATAGTTTCGGATGTCTGTTTGTCTGATCTCAAACCCATTTTGTTCGACCTTTCTTTTCCATGCTCTCCTTTTAAGAGCAGTCTGCCTGTATACTGCACACGCTCCATTACACCCTCTACAGCCAGTCAGTTTTCAGTTGCCTATATTACCTCTCCCGTGGTTTGTGCCATTGAGAATCCACCTTCAGGTACGAGCACAGACGAGCTGACTGATCTCTTTAATTTGGCATGTACTGGCATCATCAATCAAATTGCTCCATTAAAATCTAGAAGTGTTAAAGTGAAGTCACAGCCATGGCTAAACAGGGATACTCGTGCACTCAGACAGCAGTGTAGGAAGGCAGAATGGAAATGGAAGCGAGATCATCTCCAATTTTACTATCAAATTCTTACCAACAGGGTGTCAAAGCAGCCAGAGCGAATTATTTCTCCGACATCATTGCTAGGCATTCTCACTGTCCCAAAGTTCTTAGTACAATAAATACAGTGCTGCATCCCACTATCTCTCCAACCCTTGAAGCCACTACTGAAATATGTGATCATTTTATGAGGTTTTTTATTTCCAAAATTGACAGTTTGCGGTTTCAATCAGTTTCTTCAGTCCTTGACCCCTCCGTTTCACTTAAACCTCCAGCCTATTTAAGTCAGTTTGAGGCTGTGTCATTGTGGGACCTGACTGAGCTAATCGTTAATATGAAGCCAACTACTTGCTGCCTGGATGCATTTCCCACACGCCGTTTCTTAAAGATGTTCTGCCTTCTATTGGCCCAAGCATTCAGTCTATAATAAATAGCAGTCTAACCAGTGGTGTCGTCCCTTCTTCCTTTAAACATGCAGTTGTTCAGCCTCTTTTGAAAAAACCTGGCCTAGATCCAACACTTTTAGGGTATTTTAGACCAATCTCTAAGCTTCCTTTCTTGGCAAAAGTCTTAGAAAAAGTTGTCTTTCAGCAACTGTGTTCTTTTCTAAACCAATTTAACATCCAGGACAGGTTTCAGTCAGGTTTTAGAGTCCTTCATAGTCCAGAGTCTGCTCTTCTTAAGGTTTTAAATGACCTACTTCTAGCTGTGGATTCTGGCAGTTGTGCTATTCTTATTCTTTTAGACCTAAGTGCAGCCTTTGACACTATCGACCATACCATCTTGCTAGATCGCCCGAAGTATGGTGTTGGCATCCAGGGGGTAGCATTAAAGTGGTTTGCCTCATATTTAGAAAATCGAACCTTCTCTGTTAGGTTGGGTCAATCTTTCTCTTCCTCTCCAGCACCTATCACTTGTGGTGTTCCTCAGGGATCCATTCTGGGACCTATTCTTTTTTCTCTATATATGCTCCCTCTTGGGTCTATTTTCCAGAAATACAATATCTCATACCATTGCTATGCGGATGACACACAGATATACCTTCCACTTCACCCAAGCAAAAACTGTTCCTTGCATCTCTTGTTTGATTGTTTGAGGGATGTCGAATGCTGGATGTCTAAGAATTTCCTCAAGTTAAACCAAGACAAAACTGACATTATTATCTTTGGGAATCCTGCCTCGGTTAGTGTTATAGCCAATGATCTGGGACCTTTGATTACTAATGTGCATGACCACGTAAAGAACCTTGGTTTCATCTTCGACACTAACTTAAACTTTGAGAAACAAGTCAGCACAGTTGTTAGAGGAAGTTTTTATCACCTTAGAAACATTGCTAAGCTCAAAAGCATCCTGTCTTTTAAGGACCTGGAAACAGTTATCCATGCTTTTATTTCCTCTCGTGTTGAGTACTGCAACTCACTGTACTTGGGTATCTGTCAGTCGAGCCTGTCACGTCTGCAGCTGGTCCAAAATGCAGCTGCAAGGCTCCTGACTGGTACCAAGAAAAGGGAAAGTATAACCCCTGTACTGGCTTCACTGCATTGGCTTCCAGTAAAATACCGGGTGGAATTTAAAGTTTTATTGTTTGTTTTTAAAGCTCTTCATAACCTGGCTCCAAGTTACATTTCTGACCTCCTTCACCTTCGCTCGACCCCTCGTGTTTTACGCTCCTCAACCAGTTGTGTTTAGATGTTCCTCGCTCTCGGCTGAAATTCAAAGATGATCGGTCCTTTTCTGTAGCTGCTCCAAAACTTTGGTATAATCTTTCACTTTTTATAAGGGAATCAGCCACAGTGGACACTTTTAAGTCCAACTTAAAAATCTTTTCTCTCAGGCATTTGAGTCCTGAGTGGATTATGCTATTAGTTGTCTGTTTTGTCTTGGTCGACTCTGTCTTGTCATCAGGTTCTTTTACATGATTGTATTATTTAAAAATAGGTTTGTGTTATATGATCTTATTGTGGAGTTTGCCTGTTCTCCCCGTGTCTGCGTGGGTTTCCTCCGGGTACTCCGGTTTCCTCCCACAGTCCAAAAACATGCAGTCAGGCCAATTGGACGTGCTAAATTGCCCCTAGGTGTGAATGTGTGTGTGAATGTGTATCTCTGTCTGTCTGCCCTGTGATGGACTGGCGACCTGTCCAGGGTGTATCCTGCCTTCCGCCCAGTGACAGCTGGGATAGGCTCCAGCACCTCACTGCGACCCAGAAGGATAAGCGGTTTAGATGATGGATGGATAGATCTTATTGTACAGCACTTTGGCCGGCACTCGTTGTCTTTTAAATGTGCTATATAAATAAAGATGACTTGACTTGACTTGACTCAGCAAATTACGGAGCTGTAGTTAAAAAAAAAAAAGTAGCAAAAGTAGGACCGGAGATGCCCAAAGACATTGCCCACATTAGAGCTTTGCTTTAAGCATATTTAACGTTAAAAGCTGTTTTCCCAGTTTGGCCAGTCTGTGCTGAGTTTATTCAGCAGTTGTTCTCTGCAGTGTCTGTGAATGTAGCTTTTACTGTACGAGGACCCTCGACCTCAGTCTCAGTTTGAGTCATTAATCATGTTTGATTTTGAGAAGCGACACCATGTCTTTATATTTCAATCCAAGATCAATGTAAAATTCAATGAGCTGCTCCGTCTCTGAGCTTAAGCAAAGCACAGCTTTTGCAAGTGAATGCAAACTGTTGCATCGTAATGCGAAACATTTGCGAGGGAACGCAAAACATTTGCGAGGGAACGCAAAACATTTGCGAGGGAACGCAATGTCACTAACTTAGGGGCTCCGTAGCAAATAAATAGAAATTGTGTGCTAAAATTAGCAGAAAATATCATTTTTAAGTTTGTTCTCTATAGAGGATGTGCTACCTTTATTAGCACTTAGAAATATGCCATGGACTGGGGGTGTTCACACTTTTGCACACAAGTATATAACAGTTAAGTGCACTGAACAACAACAACAAACACAAAATGATAAATGCAGTTATTTATATGGCAAATAATTGTGAGCTAAAAGTTTTGTTTCTGGTCTGTTTCTAACTCTTCAAACCAACAAAGCAAACAAATGTTTTTTTTCTCATAATTAGACAATAAAGACCAAACAAATTAAGACCACTTCACTCATTTCGATTAAGTTTTATATTATCTTTGCACGACCCGTCAGTCAGAAAAGGCCAGCAGTGTTTAAAAAATGTGTTTATCTTTTCATTTGGCTTCAGATCATTAGTGACGCTGTAAACAAGCCGATTAGCCGAGTCAGTTTTGGTGATTTGTGTTCTATTTGAAATGCTACAAAGCCTCTCGCCCTTCCTTCATTCATCACAGCTCGTAGGGGCCGTGCAGGTACTGCGTGGGCAGTAAAGGTAATTAACACTTTTGGAGCTCACCAGTAATTAACTGGGCGCAGAAAAAAGCCCAGGTCTCCCATCAAGTGACAGACTGAGAGCGAACAGAAAGTCTTTGGGCGCTGTGTGGGAGAGTCGAGGGGGCTACAAAAGCTCAGGCCGTGGCAGCTCATTTCATTCAAGTTGAGTTACAGCCCAGCGGGAACCCTCAGAGCGGTGGAACGCTCGCAGCGAGCTGGAAGGGAGCTTCTGGAACGTTCTCTGAGCAAAGAGCCAGCTCTTATTCAGACCCCTGATTTGGCCAATTAACTGTCTTTTGTTAATTTGTGGCGTATTAGCGGCGGAGACGCTCTGGTGGTGCGGCGGCTGCATTTCTAATGAACTTCACATTTAATCCAACCGAGCTCTAATATTAGCTTGATTTTTGGTGGGTTTGTTCAAATGACATGGTTTTTGTTATTTGTGGCTGCTTGAGGTTCCTCTGGGGAACTTGTTTCTGATCTTCTGTATTAATTTTCCATAGAAATGTAAAATTGCCGGCTGATATGTATCTGAAGGCCCACTAGAATGTAGCTCTCAGAAGCATTTATAAAAATACTCATCCCCAGAGTATTTCTTGATGGATCTAACCGAACATACACAGACTTAAAACGGTACAAATGTACAATTATAAAACAGTCAGAAACAGTCTGGAGCGCAGTGATGGCCCGACGGTAAACTTTTTCTCCTTTTCTCACGCAGGCTATATCATTCCTCACTCCTCTGGCTGTGATAATCGTGGTGAAGATTATACAACGGACAGATAAGACGGAAATCAAGGAGGCGTGTTTGGGTGAGTATAAGGCCACTAATATGCTGAAAAAACCTGCATTGATCATTATTGCCTGGATTTCATAATATTGAACACTAGTTTTCCACAGTAAAAACTTTCATCATTTTATCGTGAAATCAACTTATTTTAAGATATTTCTCTAACAACACAGCAAATTACTGGGAGGTTGAGTTATAAAAATGTAAACATTTTAATAAAAAAAACATTTTCAGTGTTTTTTATTCCGATAATTCAAGTTTTGGTGTTCTTAAAGACTTCTGAAGTTGTTTTTAAATGCTGTTTATCGAAAAATGTATTGTTTATAGGTATAAGCCAGTCTGCAAATTACACACACACACACACACACACACACACATATACATACATACATACATACATATATATATATATATATATATATATATATATATATATATATGTATGTATATATGTATGTATGTGTGTGTGTGTGTGTGTGTGTGTGTGTGTATACATATATATATATATATATACATATATATATATATATATATATATATATATATATATATATATGTATTTGCAATTAAACTTGTGTATTTGAGGTATTCTGTGCACACTTTGTACACAGTGCAAAACATTGTGAAGAAATATGTTTGTTGATATCATTCTGATTTTATTTAGTTTATTTTTTACCTTATTCACATTAAAATATATATATAATTTACACATCTGAAAAAATATTTTTTCATATGTAAATGTACTGGCTTCTGAGCTGCATTACTTTTACGGTTGTTGTGTAAAACTACAGGAGATTACTGTATTTTAATTACAGCTTATTATTGTAAGTGTGCAGCAGAATAACAGCTACTGATTACTACTACTATTACTGTACAGCTGCTATTTTACTGCTATTTCACTGTTAATATGGTTCATGAAGGCAATGCAACTGGTAGCCAGTAAATTATTGGAATTTTACGGTAAATTAACTGTGAATTTACAGTCTAGCTTTCAGTAATGGGAAAAAAAAACTGGAAAATAAGAAAATCATTATTATTTACAGGATTACTCTATTCAAGTCTATTCCGGTTGAGGTGTTTACGTGGACATATTCTATTCTGATTGAACTAGGTTATTAACGGATTGTCAGGCTGCATGTAAACGTGGCTACTGAGATCATTTAACTCAATAAAATTTTGTAAAACAAGGAAAATATCTAGAAATAAGTTTTAACTTTATACTTACAGCAGTCTCTTAATGAGACATATTAGATATATTCAGTAGATATAAGATGATTTCACTTGGTCTTCTGCTGCTCTATACATGGTTGCAGCCAATGCAGTGCCACACGTTTGTTTCACCTGTTTGACACTCGCTGAGCACTCTCAGCTGCACATTAGCACCCTGGCTAATGTATTTATTCATTGGAGTGGCTCCTTGAATCTGTGTTTCCGGCATTAAGAGTTTGATCAAGCGGTTGTCCCCGTGGTCCTCATGAGTTCTGTTGAGAGACGGACAAATTAGACGGCACCACAGCCACGAGGCTTCCATTTATTCAGATTTTCATGCTATTTCTTAACGTCCTGACGAGTGACTCGGGCACGGTGTTGGTTTCATGGCGAGGCCCGTAGGAGCCCAGAGCACAACAGAAGCCATTAGGGGAGAAAGTTGAACACAAATCCAATTAAACAGAGCCAGAGAGAGAGAAAACGTTGCTCTGTACATCACTTCAGAGATTAAAGTCTTACACAGTATTAAATTATACAATTACAGAGCAGAGAGAACATCGAAACAGATTCCATTAGAGCAAAAGGCAGGACGGCATACAGAAAGAGAGCCCTTTTTAATTGTTTTATTATTTTATTCATTTTTTTCCCGTGTTGCTCAGTCATGATAGATTGGTGGCATTTTGATGAAGGTTGCTTTCTCCTGAATGCATCACAGATTGTGCAGCTACTACTCAGAGAATTCAGTATGCTAATTGCTGGAGGCTAAAATGGGCTCAGGTGGTGGGCTGGGATTTGCATTAAGGTAAGATTATGATGTGATATTGGAGGGCAGACAGATGCCGACTGGTATCTCTGTTCATGAGCCGTTTAAATAAGGTCAAAAAATTACGGCCCAAACTGGACGTCTGAATCCTGCTGTCAGCATTCGCTGGAGAAGTTTGATCAGCAATGAAAGTGTCTGTGAGACGATATGAACTCAAATTTTATATCATGACATTTTTAACCATCTACAATAATGATATTATACCAAGATATACAAAAAAGCATTATTTTTGTTATTATCCTATTAATAATAGCTGTGCTCCCAGATTGAACATAATTGGCAAATTGGTAGCAAAATGGCAAATTTCCCTTGCAGCGTCAATAAAAATATAAGAAACCTTATAAGAATTAGAGTTTTTTGTTGTCCGTTCTCAACAAGTAGAGAGGAACATCAGTTTTTGTCCTCAGCTTTTATTAAAAAAATGTCTTCTCTTCTCAAATGATTGATTTAATTATGTCAAAATAATGACATTTCCTCAGAATGCTGACTCAACATTTCACTTGAACTGCAATCTCAACATTTTCACTTTTTTGAGTTTTTGAGATTGAGTTATTAAGACAGAATTTCGACATACTATGTCAAAAATGATGCGTTATTAAATTTCAAGAAAGTAAGTTATTATTTCAGGATAATAAGTCATTATTTCGAAAGAGTACATTCAATTTCAAATCAAATCAAATCAAATTTATTTGTATAGCGCTTTTTACAACTGATGTTGTCACAAAGCAGCTTCACAGAAATCCGTTTAGGACAAAGTTTCAACATGAAATGTAAATCCTCCAGGTGAGCGAGCCAGGGGCGACAGTGGCAAGGAAAAACTCCCTCAGAGCTGAGGAAGAAACCTTGGGAGGAACCAAGGCTCACATGGGGGGACCCATCCTCCTCTGGTCAAACTACCTACAAAATTATTATTCTACTAATATTAATAGTAGTAGTAGTAATAGTTACGAGGTAGTAATAGTTAGGAGACTTCAGTGTAGAGTGGGCAGCCAGTCCAAGGCAGGTGGCGGTGACTGGGTTGTGGGTAACTGGTCTGAAGCGGGTATCCGGAGAGCTCTACAAACAATCATCCAGCAGTGTCCGGCCGGACAGATGGGCAGTCGTTTTCTCGGAAGAAAGGTAGGGAAATGGAGTTAGTTTAGTTCTGTATGGGTGTATGTATAGTAGTATGTAAATCATTTCCAGAGTGTGGCTAACGACTCCGGCAGATCTGACTATAACAGCTTAACTAAAAGGAGCGAACCAAAAGGGCACACAGACACGGGAGCACCCTGAGACAATCTGGCATCCCTCCGCTCCACCGTCCACAAACCTGAGTGTTCGCGTGCGAGCGGCGGGACGACAGCACCAGCGTCTCAGTTTACTGATGTCAGTATAGTTTAGATTTTAAGAAAATAATTAGTTATTTCAGTATAGTAGTATAAAATTTCAAGATAAGTAAGAATTTCAAGACTAAGTAATTTCATTACACACTTAAAAATGATGGTTCTTCAAGGGTTCTTTAGTAAAGAAGATGGTACTATATAGGACCATGAACACTCGAAGAACCTTAGCATGGTAAAAGCGTTCTTCAGATTGATGGAGAATGTGCTGTAGATGGTTCTATAAAGTTTTGAAAAGGTTTCTATACAGCACCAACAAGGGTTATTTTATTATTACAAGCTTGACATTGTTACAACACTACAAAAGGTTCTTTGAGTGTTCCTCGTTCTATACTTTACTTTTAATGTAAGTCAATGGAACCAGAATTTTTTCCAAGTCATTTTGGGCTGTTTCTTTTAGTCCATTCATCATGAAATTTACACACAATGTAAAGGGAAGCAGGCGTTTTCAGATTATGTCAAAAACTGAAAAACAAACAAAAAGTGGAGATACAAGGTTTTCTTCAGAAAGCAGTGATATATTACAGTATCCATGATATGTTAAAATGGACTTCGACATACTGTATTGATTTCTCTTATAGCTCCCATTCCTAGTAACACTAATAATAGATTAATTACTGTTATTGTAATAGAGATACACAATGCTAGCAGAATGCCAGAGCACTGATTCTGTGATTTGGATGGTCAAAGTGAAGTATGTAGCTACAGTAGACTGTAGTCTGTTTGGTGAACTGGAGGTGATTTACTCCTTTCATTTTGAGAAGAGAGGAGCCTCCTATATCACAGTAACATGAAGATAAACCTGTTATTTACTCAAAGCTTAGTCTTGTTTCCAGTTCCACAATGAGCCCTGAGCATGACGACCAGCTCACAGCGGTAAATCTTGCCCTGTCGTATATCTAGTTATTTTATTCATTAGAAGAAAATGAGCGAAGCAGATCCCTCTAAATTGGACGGCTGACTCCAGTTTGGTTATGTAACCATTCCTTATGATGCAACTGCCTGGAAAACAAGTCTAGAACTGTCAACTCCTGCAATTTTTGTCTCCATCTCATTTTGAAAAACCCATTTAAAAAAACAGTTTCTGAACAAATGTTGCCACACGGCTGAGGCCTGCTTTTAAAACAGACCACAAAAACATGAATCACGACATCCTTACAGACGTTTCCTAAATGAAGAGAATGTTGGTGCGTGAAATTAAGCGCCTGTAGTGCCTGTGAAGCTTAGCGCAAACCTGTGGAGCAATTTGAACCTCATATAAAAAAACCCTTACTGGAGTCGAGGCTGAGGAAAGTGAAAACATGTCAGTTCATTTTCTGAGTTTTTTGCTCCGGATCGGGGGGGCAAACTGAACAAGAGTGAGTTTCCCCAAAGTAGAAGAGTGACAGGGAGAGCCTGACGCAGGGGAAATGTAACACAGCATTTTTATGTAGTTAAACAGATTCAAGTAGAATCTGCTTCTGGGGTCGGATTCATGAAAGTGTCTTAAGAAAGAAAGAGGCAGTCCCATTTCACCCCTCGCCCCTACCACATAGCCCTACCCCTTCATTTTGCGCGTTCATGTGTAGGGGTAGGGTGTCCCGATTCTTGTTGAGATAGAGAGGTAGG